TTACTCTAATAAGCAAGGAACAAGAGAAATCTAACACTAAAACATCCTAAATCTAACCTAATCACCCTTAATCTCCCTAACCCATGAATTCAAAAGGTGATTACTCACTAATCTCCATGATTCCTCTTAAACCCATATTGGATTTCAGATTAATCATGTAGAGAAATAGATAAGAAATCAACAAGAACACAAGATGAAAAGCAATGAAATCTCAGTCAAAAGAAGTTTTTCTTCAAGCATAAAGATGATCTGCCTGGTAGGCTACAAAGAATACTTAAAATTAGGTTTTTCCAACTCAAAACATAAAAAACGAAATTGCAAAAAAGTCCTCAAAACAAGTATTTTCCGTCCAAACATAAGCGCACAGCGGGGTCACAACCCCGCTGCACAACCCCGCTGTGGGGCTTCCCATAAAGCCGAGCGGCCCCCCTGACTCCGCCCCGGGGGTCCGCTGTGGTCTGGGCCGACCCCCTGACCCCGCTGCCATGACCCCGCTCCAGGATGCTCGCCTCTAGTAAATTGGTTATAACTCCTTCATTATATCTTCAAACGACTTGAGACCACTTCCATTAGAAAGCTAACTCAATTTTCTATGTCTCCACAAAATCTTAGCAACAGAAGATATCTTTAAAGGCTCCATCCATTCTCATCTTTCATCTCCTTTTGGATCACAATGCTCCTAAACATCTCAAATCACTCCATGGCACATTCGAACACCTAATAAGGACAATGAATGAAAAATGAAACCTAGACATAACTAAATCCTAATCTATATGATGAAAATGCTCATGGATGAATGGGTAAAACAATGCAAATATGCAAGATATCGTGATTAAGTGTAGATCTAAGGTGTTAGCTGTTAGATCCTTGTGTTTCCTTGTTAGTTGAGTGATTTTAATGCTTGATTAATGTTGGCATCCTTAATCTTGATCATTAGACTTTAACCACCCATAAGGTGTTTGTTTAAATGTCTGAACCAACTCATCTAGCTTTAATACTACCTAGCCAATGACCATTTGTATCTAGGGATTTTAGATAGTTATTAAACCTACTCTTAGTGATTGCTTTCATTAATTAAGCCAATGATCATTTGTGTTTGATTAATGAACGCAAATGAACAATTGTCTAGACCTAGAACTTGCTTAGCTTTGTTTTTTAGACTTAATGAAATACTTTGATTGAAAGCTTGCTATTTTTAGATTGAAACTTGATCACATAAACCATATACCTACTCCCATGAGTCTAGCCTTCACTAATTGAGAGAAAGTTTGTTACTTGTTGCGTTTTAAATTTGTTCTTGAATCATTTGATATTCTCTAAACTGATTGCATTTAGATTAAGCACAACTTGTAATCTCTTTGTTTTAAAACACTTAGAACTTGGATTGACATCTAAAATACTACTTTGATTTGCATAAGGCTTAAAAACCCTTATCAAATTTGGCGCCGTTGCCAATTCTAAGTTGCTTTTGACATTGAGATTTAGTCATTGCTTGAGACTAAATCTTATTTCCTTATTTACTAGTACTAATTCTCTATCTTCATCTTTTTCTCTATGGAAGGTACATGAACTTGAGGAGTAGAGGACCAACAAACCTTGTTCCAAGAGTTGATAATATCAGAGCCTTAGAGAGAGAGTTAGCAAGAAGGAGAAGAGAAGAAGAGCAACAAGTTCACTTAGAGAGATTGGGGTTAGTGATGGATCAACATCATAATCAGCCTCAAGATGAAGAAGTTGATGGTCTAGGAGATGCCAACCTAAGGCCACAACGCCCACAGCGCTAAGCAAGGACCATTGGTACTCATGATCAACCCAACATACATGGTCATAGAGCTGGTATCCGGGCTCCAGCTGTGGCGAATAAAAACTTTGAGATCAAGTCCATCCTGATCAACATGATCCAGCAAAACAAGTACCATGGTCTTGCCGTGGAAGATCCTTTGGACCATTTGCATAACTTTGATCAGCTGTGTAGCACAACCAAGATCAATGAAGTCTCTGAAGATGCCTTCAAGCTGAGGTTGTTTCCTTTCTCTTTAGGAGACAAAGCACATATTTGGGAGAGGAGTCTTTCAAGAGATTCTATTGAAACTTGAGATGCTTGCAAGAAGGCTTTCCTTACCAAGTTCTTCTCTACCTCAAGAACTGCCAAGCTAAGGAATGAGATCTCTGGATTCACTCAAAAGAACCTTGAGAACTTTGGAGAAGCATAGGAGAGGTTCAATAGCTACATTTCTCAGTGCCCTCATTATGGCTTCACCATGGAGAGTTTGCTTAGCACTTTCTATAGAGCGAAGTTTTACCTAAGTATAGATCCCAACTTGACACTGCTAGCAATGGATCCTTCTTGGGCAGAACTGAAAATGAAGCTTTGGAGCTTGTAGAGAACATGGCTAAGAGTGATTCAGTCTACAATGATGATCATGATAGATGCAACAGAGGCAGTGGAGGTGAAGATCAGAATACTAAGGAGTTGAAAGCCTTGCAAGACAAGATTGATATGCTCATCTCAGCTGGAGCTAAGAAGGTTAACTTTGTTGGTGAGCAAAATCATGAGGGGAATGCTGCTGTTAATGAGGTTGATGGTATAGAAGGACCAGAGAAGTTGTGCTTTGTCAATGCTAATGGGACATGGTACAAGAAGGAGCCTAACTTTCAGTACAACAACTACAAGCAAAGATCCTACTCAAACAACCAACAAGGTGGTTATCAAGGACAACAAAACCAAGACTACCCCTCCAAAGGAAATCAGTCTACACAAAACCAAGTTGTTCATCCACCTCTTCTCCACAAGAGAGTAGTACTGATGCTATGTTGAAGCAAATCTTAGAGTCTCAAACTAGAAGTAAGAAGCATGTGGGATATGAGCTGAAAAATCTGCATGCAAAGATTGATGGAAGCTACAATGATCTCAACAACAAGTTCAAGGCTCTAGAGAATCAGTTTGCCTCCATGAGTTCTCACTCTACTAGACAACAAGGTTCACTTCCTGGAAAATCTGAGCAAAACGCCAAGGAGACAATGAAAGCTATCACCCGTAGAAGTGGCAAAGAGTTACCTTCAAGAACTCTCATTAAGGGTAATGAGAAACAAGTTGGGGAGGTGGTCATCAATGTAGATGATGATGTGGTGATAGTTGATGAGAAGACTAATGAAGAGATCTTGGAAAAGATAGTTGAAGCTACTACTTCATCAAAAAGAGCTCCATTCACTCCTCCACCTTATGAGCCAAAACTTCCCTTTCCTGGAAGGTTTAAGAGACAGCTTTTAGAGCAGTACAAAGCCTTGTTTGAGAAGCAAATGAGTGAGGTTCAGATCACCATGCCCATTATTGATGCTTTCATGTTGGTACCTCAGTATAGCAAGTTCTTAAAGGATGCTGTGGCACAAAAGAAGAAAGAAATGGAGGGAATGGTGGTGTTGACACATGAGTGTAGTGCTATTATCCAGAGATTAGATGATTCAAAGAAGCTTGGAGATCTAGGGTGCTTTACTCTTCCTTGTACCATTGGACCTATGAGGTTTGAAAAGTGTCTTTGCGATTTAGGAAACAGTGTCAGTCTCATGCCTTTGTCTATTGCCAAGAAGCTTGGATTTACTC